CCCGGAAAGGAATATTGAAATGTAACGCATGGCAACGTTTTCAACGACAACTGATTGGGTGACGGGCACATGCAATGCTGAGTGTATCGAGCTTGATGTACCCTGCCGAGGGCTGTGCTGTGCTGCACCGTGCTGAATTGCGATGTGCCATGGCGCGATTGTGCTCTATAGCGTCGTGGATCGAGTCCTCCTTTGCATCCGAGTCCTGACCGAACTGATCTGGATCTTAAGCTCGAGCTGCCTGAACACATAGTAGCTGCCCCAGAGCTAATGGACAGGGGAACATGCCAGGAGGACGCGCCGCGAAACGTCCCAAGGGATGCGCCAGGCGCGTGCCAGGGGACGTGCCATGGGGTCGCACCGCGGGACGTGCCAAGGGGACGCGCTACGGAACGTGCCAATGGATGTGCCACGGGATGTGCCAGGGGACGCGCCACGCAACGTGCCAGGGGGACTCGCCAAGGGACGCCCCACGGAACGTGCCAAGGAACGTGCCAAGTTGCAATGCTGAGCGTATCGATCTTGATGTACCGTGCCGAAATCTGTCCTGTGCTGCGCCGTGCTGAATTGCGATGTGCCATGCCGCGATTGTGCTCTAGCTTCGTGGATCGAGTCCTCCTTTGCATCCGAGTCCTGACCGAACTGATCTGGATCTTAAGCTCGAGCTGCCTGAACACATAGTAGCTGCCCCAGAGCTAATTGACAAGGGGACATGCCAGGAGGACGCGACGCGGAACGTCTCAAGGGACCCGCCAAGCAACGTGCCAAGGGACGTGCCATGGGGACGCACCGCGGGACGTGCCAAGGGGACGCGCTACGGAACGTGCTGGGGACAAGCGTTTCGCTCGAGACATCCTGCCAACATCCTCAGAATTCCTGCGCGCGGGACGCGGCACGCGCGAGACATCCTCGGAATTCTTGCGAGCGGGACGTGCAAACAAGCATTTCGCCTGAGACATCCTCTGAATTCTGGACCCCCACGAGGCCCCCCACGAGGCCCCCGCTCGAGACATCCCCCAATTTTGCAAAACCAGCGTTTGGCTCGAAACATCTTCAACAAATTATGAAAGACAAGCATTTCGCTCGAGACATCCTGTCAAAATTCAAGGAAATCCTCGAACAACAAACGAATTAGTTGAGACATCCTCGAAATTCCTGCGCGCGGGACGCGGCACGCGCGAAACATCATCGGAATTCCTGCGCGCGGGGTGCTTTTCCGCGTCGCGGTCGGCTCTGCAAAACCAGCGTTTCGCTCGAGACATCCTCAACAAATTCTGAAAACAAGCGTTTCGCTCGAGACATCCCCAACTCTGCAAAACCATCGTTTCGCTCGAGACATCCTCAACTAATTCTGAAAAACTAGCGTTTCGCTAGGGACGTCCTCAAAAATAATTCCGCCGGCCCTACTCCCGCACGTAATTTATCGCAAAATAATTTCGCCGGCCCAAGTCGCAGGGGGGCCGGGGGGTTAACCTACTAAAAGAAAACCCTGGGCCCGCGCCCTTTCCGGGAACAAGCGTTTCGCTCGAGACATCCTCAAAATTTAGTTCGCCGGCCCTACTCCCGCACGTAATTCATCGCAGAAATATTTCGCCGGCCCTACAGCCGTCGAAACCGGGGGTAAAACCACTAAAAGAGAACCCTGGGCTCGAGTCCTTTCCGGGAAAATGTGCCTTCAAAAGGTGAACACGCTTTTGGGTTCATGGCTTGCGAAATCCCCCACATGATTTCAGCACGTGCGCGTGGGCAGAACGCCAACAAGTCTTGTTTTGTTGAGGCTCTTACAGAACTTAGGTCGCTGGTGTGGTTTCGACATTTGCGCGGGCGTGTGGACATTTTGGTGTTTGTTGCAAAGGATTTTCGCCAAACGATCTTTGAGGTAGGCGAGTGTGCGCGTAGTACTATTTGAATTGAATGACGGGGGGGTCAACAAACCTTTGGCCTGGAATGCAATGGTTTTGTATTGCAAACGATTGGTGGGCCAGGATCACATGTAACTTGTACGATCCCGAAGGCGCCGATAAGTCCTGGCTCGGGAGTGTGGTGGAGTGTGTCTAGCTTACGGAAGGAGGAGTCACCGGCGTGCGCCGCGCGTGGCCACCGCGAATCTCCGTCGTCGCTATCTTGAGGTCCTTTGGGGCTGTCTCGGGGCTCTCTTAGGGCTCTCTTGGGCGGTCTCGGGGCCCTCTTGGGCTGTGTTGGGGCTCTTTTGGAGCCCTCGCGGCCGTCTAGGGGGATCTCTTGGGGCCTTGAGACCGTAGTGCGCCGTCCGTGGGGTCATTTTGCACCGTCCCGGGTCCCTCCGGGAGCCCACTTAGGCAAGTTTCAGGCCTTCGTGGTCTCTCCTAGGCAGTCAACGGGCCCTTTTGGGCCGTCTTGAGGCCGTCGTGGGGCCGTTTGGGAGGCCTCTTGGGCCGTTTTGAGCCAGCGGAAGCTCGAAAAGGCGAGATTGCCGATGTCAGCCTTCAGCTCGAAAAGGCGAGCTGAAGGCTGACATATCAAATCACTACTGCTACGATAACCGGTGCAACTGGTACTCCAGCGGGTTGTTTTCAAAATGTGGTTTGGGCTTGAGCGCCGCGCACATTCGTTTTAAACATTTGCAATAGTTTTGGGGTTGAGGGCGGGTGGTTTTCAAAATGTGGTTCTCGCCTGAGCTCCGCGCACATTCTTTTTCACAATTTGCAATAATCTCACGGATTGAGGGCGGGTGGCTTCCAAAATGTTGCTCTCGCCTTAGCGCGGTGCCCATTCGTTTTAAACATTTGCAATGTGCAAGGTCTTCACGTATTGAGGGCGGGTGGTTTTCAACATGTGGTTCTCGCCCTAGCGCCGCGCACATTCGTTTCCAAAATTTGCAAGGGTTCCACGGGTTTAGGGCTGGTCTTTTTCAAATTGTTCTATCGCCTTAGTGCCGCGCCCATTATCATGACAACATGATCGACCCACGAACCCGGAAAGGAATATAGAAATGTAACGCATGGCAGCGTTTTCAAAGACGCCTGATTGGGTGACGGGCAAGCGCAATGCTGATTCTATCGATCTTGATGTACCGTGCCGACGGCTGTTCTGTGCTGCACCGTGCTGAATTGCGATGTGCCATGCCGCGGTTGTGCTCTATAGCGTCGTGGATCGAGTCCTCCTTTGCATCCGAGTCCTGACCGAACTGATCTGGATCTTAAGCTCGAGCGGCCTGAACATAGTATCTGCCGCAGAGCTAATTGACAGGGGGACATGCCAGGAGGACGCGCCGCGGAACGTCTCAAGGGACGCGCCAGGCGACATGCCAGGGGACGTGCCATGGGGACGCACCGCGGGACGTGCCAAGGGGACGCGCTACGGAACGTGCTGGGGACAAGCGTTTCGCTCGAGACATCCTGTCAACATTATCATGCTAGATATCCGCCTGAGCGACCTGGACACGTGAAAACAAACGTTTCGCTCAACACATCCTCAACACATTCTCATGCTAGACATCCGCCTGGGCGAGCTGGACACGTGAAAACAAGTAATTCGCTCGAGACATCCTCAACACATCTTCATGTGAGACGTCCGCCTGGGTGACCTGGGCACGTGAAAACAAGCGTTTCGCTCGAGACGTTTTCAACACCTTCTCATTCTAGACATCCGCCTTGGCGACCTGTACACGTGAAAGCGAACGTCTCGCTCGAGACGTCCTCAACACATCTTCATGTTAGACATCCGCCTGGGCGACCTGGACACGTGAAAACAAGCGTTTCTCTCGAGACATTCTCAAGACATCCTCATGCTAGGCATCCGCCTGGGCAACCTGGACACGTGCAAACAAGCATCTAGATCGAGACTTCCTCAACACCTCCTCATTCTAGACATCCGCCTGGGCGACGAGGACGCGTGAAACCAAGCGTCTCGCTCGAGACATCCTCAACAAATCCTGGCGTTTGACCTCTGCCTGGGCAACCTGGAGGCGTGAAACCAAGCGTCTCGCTCGAGACATCCTCAAGACCTGGGCACGTGAAACCAAGCATTTCACTTCAGAGATCCTGAGAATTCAGGTCCCCAGAAGAGAACAATACATAACACAAAACTAGCGTTTCGCTCGAGACATCCTCAGCAAATTCTGAAAAACAAGCGTTTCGCTCGAGACATCCTCAAAATTTAATTCGCCGGCCCTACTCCCGCACGTAATTTATCGCAGAATAATTTTACCGGCCCTACATCCGTCAAAACCGGGGGTAAACCTACTAAAAGAGAACCCTGGGCTCGAGCCCTTTCCGGGAAAAAGTGCAAGATATTCACGTGTTCCCATAATCGACGTACCAGAAATTGTGTTTTGGTGGGATCCATGAGTTTGAGGGCGCAACAGTTACGATGATTCGCGAGGTTGAGGTCCCAGGAATGGCGTTCTGGCTGGCACGGGTTAGGATCGTCAAGACGCAACAGTCAGGTTCATCCGTGGCGTTCGAATGCCGAGAATAATGTTTTTGCATGCGGCAGGGTCTTCAAACGGTTGTCTTCCAAAGAGGAAGTTCCTTCAATGGAAATGAACGGTTGTAGGGGCCTATGAAGAGGGAGCTAGGGGGAGGGTTGATTCCGACATCGTTGGTGACTCTTGGGTTCACACTAGGCCTCCTCCTCCTCCTCCTCCTCCTCCTCCTCCTCCTTCTCCCCCTCCTCAACGTGGTCGTCCTCCTCCTGCTCTTCCTCCTCCTCCTCCTTCTCTTCCTCCTCCCCCTCCTCGTCTTCTTCTCTCCTCCTCCTCCCCCCTCCTCCCCCTCCTCCTCCCCCTCGTCCTCCCCCTCCTACCCCTCCTCCTCCTCCTCCTCCCCCTCTCCTCCTCTCTCCTCCTCCTCCTCTCCTCCTCCTCCTTCTCCTCCTCCTCCTCCTCCCCCTCCTCCCCCTCCTCCTCCTCAGTTGGCAGTTCGAGGTGGCCGGTGCGGGGGCGGCGGGGCACTGCGGCCGCCGCCCTTAAGGCTGGGGGGGGGGCGGGGGCGGCGGCGGGGCGTGCGCACTCCCTGCAGGTGCGAGGTCCACGTCGTCCTCAAGGAGGGCACGGGCTCCGCCGGGGCCGCGCCCGCCGGCCCGGGCCACGCCGGGGCCTCAGCCGACCCCCTCCGCCGGAGGCAGCCCGGCCAGGCTTGAGGAAGAGAGAGAGAGAGAGAGAGGGCGACACGAGCGTGCAGTCGAGGCGCCGAGGCAGGGAGCAGTCTGGGCACGGGTGGGTCGGGGGTGGGCAGACCTCCTACCCTGACGCGTCGATCAAGGAATTGGCCGTTTTCGGTTCTCGAGGGGGCGTCGCGGCCGTCATTTTTGCGGGTCCAGGCCCGTCGGTTTCGGTCCCAGGCGCTTTTCACTAAGGGGAGGTTTACTGAAGGGAGGTTTGTCCACCGCCGAGTGGGGCTCGATGCTGCTTGGGCTGTTATGTGGCCGTTCCTCGGGCCCTCCTCGTGCCCGCTGGCGCTTCTGGGGACCAGACAGGGGCTTCGCAGTTTGGGCACTTTGGGGGGCCCTTCTGTGGCTGTGCCTCTGGCCCTCCTCGTGCCCGCTGGCGCTTCCGCGGGCCAGGGGGGGGCTTCGCTCCCGATCTGCCAGGAGGCGCTCGCACAGACCAAAAATAATGATAGATCACGATATATTGATGATAGAGCAGCTTATGAATTAGACCTCCACAAACTATACTTTGATCAAGTTGTAAGCGCCGGCATTGGTATTTGTGTTTCTTTTTTTGTGATCTGTTTGTATTACTGATTTCGAAATGATCCAGCATTTTTAGTAGGATTGACGACATGTTCCAGTTCACATCAGATCCCCCAGAAGCGCTGGATCCAGAAGAATTGGCACCACTGCGTGATGGGGAGCGAGGCGCGGGACTCGATTCTTGTGTCGCCGGAGCGTGCCGCCCCGGACGTGTGGCACAACACTGAGGAGATGGTCTGTGTATTGGCGGCGCGCAGAGGGGGGTAGGGGGAGAGGGGAAGGCTTCTTAGAAGCACCCCTGCTTCTTAGAAGGCGCGGGCCTTCTCTATAATTAGATGTAAGGCCGCCACCTTCTAAGAAGCAGCCTGCTTCTAAGAAGCCCTCCCCCCTCCCCCCGCCCCCCTCTGCGCGCCGCCAAGTGTAGTTGTTGAAGTATGTACTCTGAGTCCCTCAGTAGTTTTGGGCCTCCGGACTACAATGCCCCCCCGGAGTACAAGGGCCCCCCCCCCAGACTAACGCTTCGGCCCCCGCAGTACGGGCGCTTCGGCCCCAGCGCGCGGCACCCACAGGGGTGCGCGATGCGGGTCGCAGTCGCAGTCGCAGTCGCAGTTCGGTATCTGCCGTTCCCCTCGGGGAGCCTGCGGGGCTTCGCGCGCGGAGCTCTCGGGGTTGGCGGTGGGGGGCCCCCCATGGCGGCGCGCTCCGCACGCCAGGGCGGAGGGGAGGAATAGGAGGAGGAGGAGGAGGAGGAGGAGGAGGAGGAGGAGGAGGAGGGGGGGCGTGCGGTCCAGCGCCGGTCCAAGAAGTCCGCGGGGATCTCCGACGTTTGAGAGGCTCGATCGTTTTTCGGACATCTCCTAGTTCGGCTGCCTAGATGGGGTCCGAGTAGATGGTCGGGGGTGGACAGAACCCCCAACAGTGACACGTCGATTAGTGAATTGTCCGGTTTCGGTTCTCGAGAGGGCGCCGCGGCCGTCATTTTCCAGGCTTGCGCCCGCCAGGTTTGGGCCCGAGCTCGTTTTCACTAATCCACGTTTTACTAAAGGGAGGTCTGTCCATCCCCGAGATGGGGTCGGAGGATCACGCCGCATCGCCGATGCATCGCCGATGCGGCTCGATGTGGAGCCCGAGTTTCCCCACGCCGACGCCGCCGATGCATCGCCGACGTCGGCGATGCATCGCCAGCGCATCACCGATTCATCGCCGATGCATCGCAGATGTATCGGCGATGCGGCGCGATCCTCCGACCCAATGTACGCCGACCTCATCTGGGGGGCCTCTACATATTCACAAACATATCGGAAGACGATTCTCGGGTTGGGAGGGTCAGATTGCGAGGCTACGGGGCACGACGGTATAGTATTCGCACTCGACGCACGCGATAAGAGCGATGATCTGATCAAGTCTCCCACCCCTCCTCCCAACCCGATAAGTGCCGTTTTGGAAACAAACTCTTCTACAAAATACGTCCAGCAAAGCCAAGAGTGACCTGAGATTTTGCCGCCTCGCCCATCACGACGAGCTCTCCCGACGGGCGTCGTTTCGTAGGCGCGCTCCTGGCCCTGGGGCCCTCGGAGACAGGCCTGGCGCGCAGCGTCCAGACAGATCTGCGCTCCTCAATGTCGCTTGCTGTAACGTCGGGCGCCTGGCGCGCTAGAAACAAGTATTCTCTTGGAGCCCTTGATGTTTCTCGCCGTGATGGTCGGGCCCTTTTCCCTGTCCCCGTCGTGATTCTCGGGCCCCGGGGCCCCTGCTCTGGCCACTGGTCCCCAGGCGCTCCTTCGTGCGAATGCCACGGCACGCGTGACACTTGCAATTGACTGTGCGGTCGGAGCAGTGTCGACTACGGGCGGATCCTACGTCTTGGAGAGGCGCTTGCAAGCAGTCTTTGGAGACTGAGGATTTCACTGTTCGACGTGCTGGGCACGCTTGGTGTGTGTGTGTGTGTTGGTGGGTGGGTGGGTGTGCGGGTGGGTGGCATGCTTGATATGCATGGTGGCTGGTTGGCAGCTGAATGACATCCGCTGAAATCTGCACGCCTGCTAAACAGAGCTCTAGCTTCCAGGGGGGGGGGTCTTGGGCATGAAGCGCCAGGTCCAATGCCCGCTCAGCCGCTCAGCGAATAGGGTGAGCGTTCTGACGTTAGTTGCTTCCTGTGCGTAGTAGGCGCTCGGAGGAGGAGCTCTCGGCATTTATGGGTCTTGGCGGGCTGGTCAAATCTTCTATCCTTGGACGGGCCCTTGCCGAAGGCGGCTTGGCGGGCCTGTCAGATCTCCTGTCCCTGGACGGGCCCTTGCCACAGAAAGCAAGAGGTGCGGCCCGTAACGGTGTGTGTGAGACGACATCGTAGACGAGGTTGGTTCGTGAATTTGCTTGCACTTTTTCAAAACGAATCTCTCTGTGCAGCCAGTGCCCGCATCGGAATGGACAGTAGCAGAGACAATAGATCCAGACCCGGTCACACCGTCTGCCCAGTTGTGGCCCTCCCCCACCCAGGAGAGCGCCACCGAGCCGCCGCGGGACAGAACAATTTAGAACAGCAGAACTACAGTCGGACCGAGGTATCAGATCCAGGTCGGCTCGGGGAGGGCACTGTAGTGTTTTCCGTGTTTGATGGATGCCCTTGTGCATCTTGGGAAGGGCCCCCTTGGATGTTCCGTTTGTTTTGGCCGACGGCGGGTCTCATTTTTTGGGGAGATGTTTTTCTGCACAGGCCACCAGGATCGTGGACACTCCGTGCTCCAGCGCGTCCCTGTGGCGCCGCAGGGCTCCTCGAGCAGCCGCTCCTGTAGGACTCGCAGGAGGCGCGCTTCGGTGGAGCTTCCGGCGCGCTCTGTTGTACCTCTGTCTGTCCCCGGGTGCTTGCGCTTTCTCGCGTCCTGCCCCTCCGAAATCCCGTCCTGGCGAAGCGCTCGCGTGTGCACGATGAACTGCACAGAGCCTTCTCCGATCAGTCCGTCAGTGAAGCCTGGCGCCCAGTAGGCGCGTTGGCAGATGAGAGCAAGAGCAGCACAGCAATACTTGCACTGAGCGCTTGGTGTTCCACGGGTGGTTCGTGCGGGTGCGACTGTCTGCGAAAACCTCGCTCCGCCCCCTGGGTCTGGGAGGTCTTTCTCTCTCGCTCCCTCTCTTCCCCTTTCATCGAATAGGGTATCGACTACAGACTCGATGTACCCCGACATTGATTCCCTCGTTGATTCTACAAATGAACGTAGTATGTTATATAGACTCGACGAAGAAACAAATTCTGGGGCACATCAATTAATTATGTAGTCGATCCTCTACTCGATTTCCTTTGCGCTTTTCTCTTTCTCAGGAGCCTATTCGCTCCCACGAGCGGGACCGTGCGCTGCTACCCCCAGGCCAAGAGGCCCAGAGCCTTTTGGCCAGTGCTCCCGGCGATCCGAGTGTGAGATCGCCTGGCGGGTGGTGCAGCGAACGGCTGTCGTCTTGGCGCTGCGACAGGACAGTGCCAGCACAGGTTGTGAGTGGCAATCGGTGGCGCGATCGGTCACACTCAGCTTCTTGAGGTCAGAAACCCGTCCGAGCTGAAGGGCTGGACGTCTATCACCTGTGACGCCATCGTCGAGGTCCAAAAAAGCATCGAGGAGAGCAGGCAGAAGAAGCAGCTGGAGGATCTTGGCCGTCGCACGGGCAAACGCAACCATCCATACCTCAGAAGAAGCCGAAGAAGCTTAGTTTAGACGGCTTGGGATCGCGGGCGGAGTCATAGCCGAGCGTCGAAGGACACTACAGAAGCAGCAGTACACAGTTTCTCAGGTCCGCGCGCGCGCGGGTGTTCGAAAGTAGAGTAGGACCGTGGTGTAAGATCGAGGTCGGTTCGGGGAGAGTGCCCTTGTGTTCTTTGTGTTTGTTGGATATTCCTGATGCTCTTGTGCACCCTGGGAAGGGTACCCTTGGATGTTATGTTTGTTTTGGCCGACGGAGGGTCTCATGCTCTTGAAGGGTGCTATTCTGGCCTAGGTCTGACTGCATGTGTATATTCCCCAATCAGAGCTTGCCTCTGTAGGGGTCCTAGCGGATTCATATGGTTAGGTTAGGTTTGCCGCCGATTTTCGTTGCACGCCCGGGTGCCTGGGGGTGCCCGGGTGCCCGGGGGTGCCCGGGCGTGCCCGGGGGTGCCCGGGGGTGCCCGGGTGACCGGGGGTGCCCTATAGCTCAATAGCCCTATAGCCCTATAGCCCTATAGCCCTACAACTCTATCGCCCTATAGCTCTATAGCCCTATGGCTCAATAGCCCTATAGCCATACAGCCATACGATATAGCCCCCCAGCCCCATAGCCCTGATTGTTTTTTTTTCTCTGATGTATATATATATATATGTACATATGTAACTATGTATATGTATATATGTATATGTATATATGTATGTATGTATGTATGTATGTATGTATGTATGTACGTATGTATATATATATGTATGTCTGTCTGTCTGCCTGCCTGTCTGTCTGTCTGTCTGTCTGTCTGTCTGTATGTATGTATGTATGTATGTATGTCTGTATGTATGTATGTGTGTGTATGTATGTATGTATGTATGTATGTATGTATGTATGTATGTATGTATGTGTGTGTGTGTGTGTGTGTGTGCAGGTGTTGCTCCGTCCAGGAAGACTCTCGGGGGCCGACGGGTCGCCCGACGCAGGAGGACGGAGGCCACCGCGCAGGCCCCCCTTCCAGAGGCCCCACGGGCACCCGAGTGTGCATCACAGCTCTTGGCGCGCGTCTCTCCACCGGCCCATCCAGAGCAGATCCTGGCATCGCTCGGACGTGTGCATTTTTCCTCGGCGAGGACCATCGAGGAGCATCCTTGATCATCTGGCGAAACAGCCACGCACGAAACCGAAAAAAGCACAGGGAATGGACGTCCGAGCGATTGCCAGCAGATGCCCGAGCCAGCTGTCGGGAGAAGGGGAGCAGTCACAGTGAGACAAGGAGGCCGACGATGGTGAACTCATAGATCCACTGGGGCCTCTTGGAGCTACGCATCTTGGAGCTCTCTTGGGGCCCTTTTGGGGGCTGTTAGGCTCCTGTTGGGGCTCTCGAGGGGATCCCTCTTGGGGGCCCAACAAAGGAGGGAAGATCCATTCGGGCTGCCCCTCTGGAGCCCGAAAGATTGCCTCAGGACGTCATTGGGATGCTTGCAGGCGCCTCGGAGCCAATATGGGCCCATCTTGCGACTCTCGCGGGCCATCTTGAGGGGACTCTTTGGTTTCTCTGTTCTCCTCCTCCTCCTCCTCCTCGTCCTCGTCCTCCTCCTCCTCCTCCTCCTCCTCCTCCTCCTCCTCCCGTTCTTGCGCGTTCAGGCGTGCAATGTGCGATGCCTCGCCGTGCAAAGTCATCCCAAGGGAGTCTCCTCGGGACGCTCCGTGGCCACCTGGAGCCGTCCTGCGGTGTGCCGGCGGCCTGGAAGCATACGTTGCAAACCATCTTGAGCCATGTTGCGTTCTTTCGTGTCAGAGCTGAAGTCGCATCGGGCTATCTGGGTACTCCAGATTTCGTAATAAAAGACAAGGGGTCACAACCCTCCCAGACCAGAAGTTTTAGACCCCCCCAGACCATCCAGGAGAGGGCGGCACTTTGCCCAGACCCCCCCGAACCCTTCAAGACAGCTCAATCAGACCCCCCCGCCAAATGTGACCCCCCCTACTTTATTATGGAATCCAGAGTACGGTATCCTCAGGGGAGGAAAAACCACCCAGACCGGACAACTGGCGTTTACTAGCCTCCCCGGGCGTTTTTACTAAACAGCCCTGCCCTGTTTGATTCCTTGTTTGGGCGCGTTTAAGAAACGATTTCGCGTGTCGGGGTGGTTAGTATGGGGGTGGATGTTTTGACATCTATTCCTCTTGAAACCATACTGTGCTATCTTGGACGCTCTCTCCATGGCCTCCCTTTGTCCACACCCAGGGAAGGAGGTAGGGGGAAGCGTGAACATACCGCACCCCCTCCGAGGGACGGCCGTCTTTCTCACTCCCACCCGCCCTCCCACCACATAAGTAGCACCCGAGTCTCGGCACGGGCAGGGGCCGCCATCGACAACCACCGGGATCCAATGCAGACGCCAGCCATCTGCGCGACTCCCGCGAGGTGCGCCGCGCGTGGCAGCCCCCCCCCCCCCGTTATCCTTGCCAGCTAGCACGATCGTGGGGCGCCAGCGCATGGTCCAGCATTTTGTCCCAACGCGCGCCTCGCAATGGTTTTTGACAGGTGTTGTGGGCCTGCGCACGTGGGGCAGTATACGCCCCCCCCCCCCCCCATTCGCGCCCCTGTCGGAAGTCAATGCAGAGCTATCTCGCTGCGCCAGAGCATCTACGTACAGATTTTGCCGCGAATTGCTCTTGGTATTGTTTTTTCGAAAGGGTTGCTGGGGGGGGGGGCGTTGGCCCTGCTTCGGGGCTGACGTAGAGTGATGGGGGAGGGGGTGCATATGAATAAGGAGCAGTGAGCAAGGTTGCAACGGAACGCCATAAGCTCTCTGGCTCACTCTCACCCTCCCTCCCGCCATCAGTAGGCGAACGACGAATGACATGACCATAAAAGCTCAAAGGTCCGCGCAGATTTCTCGGATCTGCGCTGGACCCTCTTCGCCGCGCCTCTGGCGCCGCCCCTGGCGCGCTCCGCGCGCCAGGGAGGGGGGTCCAGCGCCGATCCGGGAAGTCCCCGCGGAGCTCCGAGTTCTTCTGTTTGTGCCATTATTCTGCCATTCTTCGCTCCCCTGATCAGAGAAGAAAACACCCCAGACTCGGCATGGGCAGGGGCTGCCACGAGCTATCGCGCTCCCTCTCACCCACCCTCCCGCCACCAACTTGGCATCGCTCGGACGTGTGCATTTGTCCTTCGGCGAGGACCATCGGGGAGCATCCTTGATCCCTTGGCGAAAAAAAGACCACGCACGAAACCGAACAAAAACACAGGGAGTGGACGTTCGAGCGATGGCCAGACCATCGAGCGAGCACCCGGCACTCAGCATGGGCAGAGGCGGCCACCGCACGGGCTGCCCTCGGGGAGCCCCCCCCCGCAGACGCCCGGCAGGCGCGCGGCGCTCGCGCGAGTGGTGCCAGGCGCAGGGCAGACGCGCGGCGCGCGCGAGGTGCCGCAGGTGGCCCTGAGGGCCCACGCGCTCCGGGCGCGCCTGGTGCGCCAGTTGCGCCACGTGCGCAGGGCTCGTTGCGATTCCCCCTTGGCATCGCTCGGACGTGTGCATTTTTCCTTCGGCGAGGACCATCGCGGAGCATCCTTGATCAATTGGCGAAAAAACCACGCATGAAACCGAAAACAAACACAGGGAATGGACGTCCGAGCGATGGCCAGCCCCCGCTTCGATGCGATGCGATTTCGGTGGGCTTCGATTCTGCTTCGGTCCGACCCGGGGTTCCGATTCGGGTTCTGGTGTCTCGTCGGGCGCATACGAGCTTGCCGAGTTCCGCCGATGCGACTTGTTCCAGCTGGGTTGCCGATTTTTGTCGGTCCGATTCATGTCGGTCGCCGATCCGACTTGTCGGTCCGATTCTGGGCGCTCCTGCACCTGCGCCAAGCATGCGACATGCTCCAGCCGCGCCAGTTCCGCGGCGCGCGCAGAGTGCGCCAGGCAGCAGCAGATGCGCCAGCGCACGTGACAGCACACATCGGTTCGACTGCGCGTAAGAGTGACCCTTCGCCGGAGTGACCGTTGGTGCGGGCCCACTGTCCCCCGATCGCCGGAGGCGACGCGGTAGTAGCGTTTTGCGCGCTGATGTCTGGCCCCCCCGCGCCCCCCCGCAAGCCGCGCACCAACGGTCCCTCTTACCCAGGGCCACTCTTGCGTGTACTGTCGGCCCCGATTAGTAGGTCGACCCTGCCAGCTCAAGGGTACCCTTGTGTCCTGTGCCTCGCGACGCGTGCCTTCTTACACTCCTATGGCGAGGTGGCCCTCGTCAGGGTCTTGTGTCCTCTCGCGTGTCCTGTCCAATCAAGGCCGACTGTAGCCGATCGGGAAGTACGTCGATCCCCCACCATGCCTGTTCAAAGCAGTGCAGGTTGGCGGCGGGGTGGCCAGCACGGTGCGTGGCGTGCGCACCCGCCATCCGGTTGCACTTGCTCTTTGGGCTTCGGATGCAGATGGTGGGCGCGTGTCCGGCGGAGAGATACAGTCGGCCCGAGGTACAGGATCGAGGCTGGTTCGGGGATGGTACCCTAAGTCATGTTCTTCGTGCTTGTTGAACGTGTTCGTGCATCCTGGGGAGGGTTCCCTTGGATGTTCTGTTTGTTTTGGCCGGCGGAGGGTCTCATGTTCTGGAGGGAGTCTCTCCTGGCCCAGGTCTGAGGGTACGACGGCACCCCCGCCATCCTGGTCAAAAGCTGTTGGGGTGTGTCCTCCTTGTTCTTGGTCGGCGGCCGGCCGAGTGGAGGAGTGTGTGTGTGTGTGTGTGCACTGGTGAGGAGTAGTCGTGCGCCCCCCCCCCCGCGAAGGGAAGGGGCGGTGTTGGATGGGGAAGCGCTCCGAACCCCTTGCGCCCAGGGGGCCCGTGGGCTTCCCCAGCAGCGCGCAGCAGCCTCCCCCCCCCTCGATCCCCGCGCTCCCCTCGGGCAAGACGTCCGAGCAGCGGGAGGCCCCCCCCCCCCTCGGGGGCGAGGCGAGCCCCCCCCGCTCGGGGGCGAGGCGAGCCCTCCCCCCCTTCGATCCTCGCGCTCCCTCGGGCAAGACGCCTGAGCAGCGCGGGAGCCCCCCCCCCGCGGGGGCGAGGCGGAGCGAGCCCTCCCGTGGCGGGGGCAAGCCACGCACACGACGTCCCTGTCCGCCACCTCGCGGGCCGACCCCCCTCGGGCCGCAGCCCCCCCCGCGGAGATGCGGGGCGCGCTTTGTGCTCGCGGCTGCCCCGCCTGGGGCGCCTCCCGTGCGATGCCGCGCCCCGCGCCGCGGCCTCGCAGCCCGGAGTGTCCGGGCCGCAGGGCGCGCAGGCGGGCACGCCGCCGAGGCCGCGGCCGTGCCGGCGCGCGCGGCCCCGCGGCTCGGGGAGGGCGCCGCGGCCCACCGGGGCAGGCGCCGCCGCGGGCGCAGGGGCTGGCGGTCTGCGCGCCGCGGCGTCGGGGGTCGTCTGCGGTGGGTCCGCGTCGTGCCGAGCGGGGCGGCGGCCTCGCCAGCCGGAGTTCAAGGCCGAGCGCCGCTGGCGGCCCAGGATCGGTCGATCTGAACGACCTGACGTTTCGGAAACGGCCGATCGTTCAGTGTTCAACGATCCCCGCGGTGTCAGAAACCAGCGCCGAAGTCGGCACGACACGAGCTTGCCGTACTCGGGCGCGTGCAGAACAGTCGGCGCGGCGACATCTGCTCGTCGCTCGTGTGCCCGGGGGGGGCGCAGGAGGACGAGAAGGCCGCGGCCGTGCTGGGGCAGAAGGACGCCGCCGAGCAAGAGCGGAACCAGCTGGCGGAGCAGCTGAAATCGGCCCAGCAGAGGCGCCCCTGCCTCGGAAAGTGTGCGTGCTTGTTGCAGAGGAGGAGGAGGAGGAGGAGGAGGAGGAGGAGCAGGAGGAGCAGGAAGAGGAGGATGATCATGAGGAGGAGGAGAAGGACCAGTGTAAACCCAAGAGCCATCAACGATGTTGGAGTTAACCCTCCCCCAAGCTCCCTCTTCAGAGGCCCCTACAACGGTTCGTTTCCATTGAGGGAAATGCCTCATTGGAAGACAACCGTTTGAAGATCCTGAAGCATGCCAGAACATCGTTCTCGGGATTCCAACGCCACGTATCAACCTGATTGCTGCGCTTTGACGATCCGGAGTCATGCCAAACCGTCATTTTGGGATCTCAACACGCGAACAAACACATTTGTTGCACCCACATAATCTTAAGTTTCCCCAAACGCAACTTTCTTGTACGCTGATCATGGTAATCCGGGAAACTCTTGCAATTGTTGTGAACGAGTGTGCGCGGCGGCAAGGCGAGAGCCACATTTTGAAAACGACCCGCCCTCAATCCGTGAAGCTGGTGCAAAGTTTGAAAACGAGTGCACGCGGCGCTAAGGCGAGAGCCACGTTTTTTAAACCACCCGCCCTCAATGCGCAAAACTCTTGCATCTTTTAAACCGAATGCGAGCGGCGCTGAGGCGAGAGCCACAGTTTGAAAACGACCCGCCTTCCATTGTGAGACTCTTGCAAATGTTGAAAAAGAATGTGCGCCGCGCTACGGGGAGAGCCACATTTAGACAGTCACCCGCCCTCAATCCGCAAAACTCTTGCATCTTTTAAGCCGAATGAGAGCGGCGCTAAGGCGAGAGCCACATTTTGAAAACGACCCGCCTTCAATTGTGAAACTCTTGCAAATGTTGTAGACGAATGTGCGCCGCGCTGAGGCGAGAGCCACATTTAGACAATCACCCGCCCTCAATCCGCGAGACTCTTTGGAAAGTTTGAAAACGAATGTGCGCGGCGCTAAGGCGAGAGCCACGTTTTGAAAACCACCCGCCCTCCAGATTTGAAACTGTTGTCACCTTTCAAGCATTAAAGTCATAAGTGGTGAGGAAGTCTCAGGCGAAACGCCTTGCCCGCTTCAAAAACTGGCCTCGGGGTGCGACAGGGAGAAGTTATATATAAGGAGGAATGGAGGAATGAGGGAGGAGGAGGAGGAGGAGGCAGAGGAGGAGGAGGAGGAGGAGGAGGAGGAGGGAGGAAGAGGAGGAGGAGGAGGGAGGAGAGAGGAGGAGGAGGAGGAGGAGGAGGAGGAGGAGGAGGAGGAGGAGGAGGAGGAGGAGGAGGAGGAGGGGGAGGAGGAGGAGGAGGAGAAGGGAGAAGGAGTCCGATGAGGAGGAGGAGGAGGACGAGGAGGAGGAGGAGGAGGAGGAGGAGGAGGAGGGGGGCCATCGGCCAGGCCGTCGTTGTCGGTCCCTCGCCTTGTCGTGTCGGCCCAGCGCTGGTGGCGGGACCCGTCTTTTCCCCGGAGCTGCCGCGTAGCGGCTCAGGCAGCGGCGCTGGATGGCGGCAGCGAAGACTTGCCATGGGAGTCGGAGTTGCCCAGTCTACATGCTTCTCTTCCCCCACCTCCCCTTGCCCCTTTGCCCTGCCTTTGCTTTCCCCGGTCCCGGGTTGTGCCGTTCGGGTGCACGACTGCTGGATTCGTGTGCGTCGCAGATGGCGGCACGCCTGGGCAGGCCAGGCGGAGGTCCAGGTATCCCGACTCGCCCAGGCGGGTCTGCAGAAGCCTCGCAATCCGATGAGTGGCGGGCCTCGTCCGTCGTGCCATCTGCGGCAAAGGCAGCTGCCGATCGGTCCAATGTGAGGCACGTGACGGCCATGTGGCGCCCAGGGGGTGGTCACAGGCAGCTTACGAGGTCGCGAGGGAATGTCAACAGGCCAGCTGTGAGGCAGCAAAGAGGTGGACACTCGGACCTGTGCTGCTTCAGGGTCAAGGTAGGAAGCAATCATACTATCGCCATGGGACGACCTGAGACATCATAGGATATAGGAAGATCTGAGAAGTGAGTGCGAAGTGCTCTACAGAGTACGCATACTCAGCCACGGTGTAGATATGAAAGGCTGACAGATCGAAGATGAGAAACCGATGGTGCATTTCCAGGCAGGCGTTTGGTGGCCTTGAGGCTGCCGAGGCGGATGCTGGGTCAATTAGCTAATTCGTGCGTGCGCTAGAATACACATTGCGGAATGTCACGTAGTAGGCACGGACGAGGCGTGAATTAGTTTTGACGTGCCCCGCGGTTCTGCCATGAGATGGCTCTAAGCTGGCCCTGGAGGAGCCTCACCAAGAATACCCTCAGAAGCCTAAATCGTGCCAACTTCTTGACTGTGCATTGCGTCGTGCCTCCTCGCCTTTTCGGCCCCCGACGCGCATCTGAAGCCCGAAGCTGGTCTCGAGATGGCCCGACAGGGCCCTCAGAGAGATCCAGAATAATCACTACCAAGGATCAACCACTACGCTGTTGAACTTGGATCGGGCCTTTAATTTGTTGTTCGTTTCTGATTCGTTGTTCGTTTTTGTTTTCAACGCCTCGTCTCGTTCTTCGGTTATGTTCGCACCGTTTCCGCTGTAAACGTTATTGTTTAACGTTGGGTCCTTTTCTAGTCTTTAGCGCAACCCCGTTCTAAATATCGTTGTAGCCCGTCAGCTGCATAATCCCAGGACGGCCCCCAGCGCTTCCGAGCGCATACCGACAGAGGCGCCCCACCAAAAGTCATCCATCTCAGGCCCGACCCAGCAGCGATGTCTTTACACCTCCTCCGACCAGGGTTATGTCAATCCGATCGATTCGATTTGACATCGATACGCCAGGGTCTTATCGATATCGATAAATATCGCTCGATATCGATATCGATATTGATATACCGATCGGCTCAAGCTCACAGGCCAAAGGAATTTTGCAACGATTGGTACTTGCTTTCTCTACTTTGATCTTTCATCCATTTCCTGTACATTACCCTACACCTCACATTCGAGCATCTTTCTTCTGCGTGTTTGCCCTCAGATATTCAACGATGGCTGGTACACATTCACGGGAGCCAGGAACGCCAGTGGGAGGTGAGAGGAACGTTCATCGTCGTCTATTTTGCCCTTTGCACGAGATGGACGACGATGTGCCAGGAATACAGGTGCACAACATCGCGACGCCCAACACCCCTCACGAGGCACGTCCACCAACCCTCCACGAGATCGCAAGCCTTCTCAGGCAGGAGGTTCAACCTTTACGCAGTGCGATCGTCAGCCTTGGGAACCGCCTCGAGACGAAGATGGTCGCCGTGGAGGAACGGATGGAGAACGTGGAGATTCGCATCACGAACTTGGAGAACCTCGAGGCCCCAAGGCCCAGCCCATTGTCAATAATGAGGTAATGGACCACATCAAAGCGCTGGAGGTCGAGATAGCCGAGTTGAGGAGCGCCGCAGGCTCCATCGCCACCGGCTCCAGGGACGCGTGCAATGAGAAGGATAACGTTGTGGTGATCGGAGTGTTGTCGTCGCCCGCGGACTTCGAGGAGGCGAAGCTATGGCTCGCAGACAAGCGGTGGCACCTCTACGCCCCGCGGCCCGACGATATCCACGTCAAGGGGGACTTTCACGGGATCGTCTTCGCAAAGTTTCGCGACAAAGCCACCAGCGATTGGATTGTTAAGGCGTTCCGGGCATCCGTGTCATGGAGTGAGGGCCACAATTTGGGCTAAGACCGACAAGGCTTTGCCGGAACGGGTCACCACGTCGTCCGTATTCGGGACGAAATGTGTGTTGAAGGGCTGGGGGTACACGAGTGACAGGATTTGGGCGGACCCCCAAGAGGGCAAGGTATGGGTGGGGAACGAAGTGGCCGTTCAAGTGACTATTGAACAGAGTACTCTGAACGTTCGCTTCGGCACTGGCTGGGAGGAGTGGTTGCATGAAGGCGATTTCCCAGAATTTCCAGACATGGTCAAGAAGCTTTCGGACAAGCTGATCCGCCTGCCTTCCACAAGCGTTTGGGGAAATGACGGAAAATCCAAAGCCAAAGGGAATGGGCCGCACCCGCATTAGGGGCGCCGGCCACGTGCGAGCAGGAACGTTTCGTAATTGAGCCCTGGAGGCAACGAACCTGTTGCTGAAGGCCTCCGGGAAGCTCAGGATCCTTTCCCAGCCAGGGGGGGGCACTATGGTGAAGCCAGGCTTTCCTTGGCTGCTGCGCGGGGTGTCCGTTTGCGCCGTGCACCGCGAAATTTCGTCTTTGCATCGTGGAACATCGAGGGTTACACTCAAGCCAAGCAGATCGAGCTGGAGAAAATCATGACCGACCGAGGCATCATGGTCCTTTGCGCGCAGGAGACCTGGACGCCGAAGCCAGGCGCTTTCATCACCGACTCCGGCTCTTTCGTCATCAACTCAGGCGGGCAGGAGGACAGCACGGAAAAGACAGGCGGGGTTTCATAGTGGTGCCGCTGGTGCGTGCTTCGATCGTGGGTTTCTTGCGGAACAGTAGTTCTGTTCTCAGCTTACGCTCCGCACGGCGGCAAGTGTTTCAACTAGAGGCAGAATTTCTTCCTCGAGCTGGCATAATCTATACAATCACGTTCCGCACATGGTCCTGAATTTGTACTTGATGACTTGAACGCAAGACTTCACGGACGCATGGGCAATGGCGAATCTACTCTAGGAGCACATATATTCGCGCATCCTGGGCAGAAGTCCGAAGCGCATTCAAATCGCATTATGTTGGTCGAGGCGTGGTTACGACTTAACATGTGCATCAACAACACCTTCTTCGATCTTCCGCAGGGCGGCCTGGCCACATGTTATACGCCTGGGTGCGAGGTAACGTCGAAGTCGCCCTCGTAAACTGATTTTCTTCTTTGCAACCAAGATTTGGTGGGGGCAGTCGGCCGAGTCCGGCCGTGCTCCGAGGCTGCGCTGGCGTCTCATCATTTCCTGCTGCTCGCTCGCCTGGCGGTCGAGGTGGACAAGCCGCCGACAGCGCCAAGGCCTGTTGCCATCGACGTGCAACAGCGGGGCTGCGATCAGGCTCGACGTTGTTTTACACGTAAGTTCGTCTGCGTCCTCGAACAATTTGACGAGGGCCCAGCGGGAGCTGCCGACGTGGGTCTCCAGTGGCGCCGGCTCGTGGATGCCTTTGACCACTCCGCTGCGTCCTGCGCGCCGCAGCTGGGGGTGGTGCCACGCAGACCGCGGATGAGCTCAGGAACGCCGCATCTTACCGCCCGGAGGTCAGACGCTCGTCGACGCGAGGCGACCCTGGAGGAGATGCATCTCTCAAAAAGAGATCCGAAAATCGGTCGCTCGGGACAGATGGACGCGGCTAGAGACTCTAACGGCGGGCGGCAACTGGAAGGAGATACGGAAACTCCGGGAAGGCTTCCGTCCGCAGCAAGGGCGCCTACGGGACGCAAGTGGGAAGCTTGTCGAAAGCGATCGCCGCGCCGAGACGCTGGCCGACCACCTCGAGAATATCCAATGGGCCGCGCGACCCGCTACAGTCGCGGCGGGGGAGACGCCGCAGAAGCGCGCGCTGCTGCCAAGGGCATCCGCGCTGACAGAGCTGCCGGTCGCGACAATCTGCCGCCCGAGCTTTGGGGGAGCCGTCGCCAGGGAAGGCGAGACCTCGCTGGAATGGATCACGAGAGTCTGTAATGCGATGTGGGGGGAACGCGAGAATCCCAAAGGCTTGGCATAGGGCACGCATTAAAATGGCACACAGGAAAGGTAACCCAGTCGTTTGCGTCAATTATCGGCCGATTAGCTCATTGCCGATCGGATGCAAGCTGTTCGCCGCCATCCTGCTGAATCGGATCCAACAGGCAGGCGCAGAGGGCGTCATCTGGAAAACGCAGTTCGGCTTCAGGTCGGGACGCGGGGCGGTAGATGCTATTTCTCCGGCGCGTCGTATTTTGGAGGACGCTTGGGCTACCAAGGACGGACAAGTAATGACGTTAGCGCTGGATTGGGCAAAGGCGTTCGACTCTCTATCGCCGCAGGCGCTGGCGACGTCCCTGCGACGATTCGGCTGCCCGACCTACTTCGTCAATATGATCGCCGCTATTTGCGAAGGGGGCCAATGCATCGTTGCCGATTTTGGTGCCGATTCCTCCGAGGACACGCAGCATTGCGGCATGTGCCAAGGTTGCCCTCTGTCGCCGCTTTTGTTTGTGATCGTGGTGGCGTTTCTCCTCGCTGATGCGCATCGCTTACTGGGAGATCGAATTCCGAATCTGCCAGGAGGAGCAGCGCGGGACCACGCGCTGCTCGTGGACAGCGATCCCGCAATCGTCGAGGAGCTCATGCGCTGCGTTTCAGCAGGGGCTCAGTGGCTAAATTTTGGACCTCTGCCACTAAGGGAGGCAAGGTTGCCGCGATGATTTGTGCCCCCCCCCCCCCCGCACTTTGTGGCCTCACCGACTCAAGGGCTCCAGAGTGGAGTGCCGTTGTCCTACGCAGCCTTAGGGGATCTGTACGCTTGGGGAAAACAGGTGGTCCTGGGTGCAGCTGGTCAACTCCCTTTTTTGTGGTAGTCGCCTCGTCTTACACTTGGCGTGGACTTGTGCGTTTCCTGCAGTCTGGTCGCACCCGCCTCCCAGCCTCGAAGGCCACGTATCTGGATAGCGGCTCCCTTCTTTCCTCCCTGGGTCGCACCAGCCCTGCATGTCATTTTTCCTGCTCCCTGGGTCGTCGGAAGGCAGGTTACGTGAGGATCGGGATCTTTGTGCGCACGCATGCCCAACCTCGAGGCAAACTCTCTATGGAGCTGAACACTGACACTGAGAGGGGAGGGCAGTGAGTGCCACCATCTTTGTATCCCCAACAGCAGTTCGCTTGCGATTGCCTCGTGTTAGTCGGCGTCTCTGCCGTCTTCAGACTTGTGTAGTTACGACAACGACTGGTGTGAATGTGTTCCGATTGCGGTTCGCTCTCTTCAGTGTGTTGTTGTTGGCGGTTGTTGTCCTAGCCTGGGCAGCTCCCTATTTGCGGCGACGGAGCGTGCTTGTGCCAACTATGCAGTTCTCTTGCAGGACTGGCCCACCCTTTTCTTCGTCGCCCCCATGCATGCATGGGTTTCGAACGTTCCGCCCCCAGGTTCCGACCCATCGACGGACCGAGGAGGAGGAGGAGGAGGAGGAGGAGGAGGAGGAGGAGGAGGAGGAGGAGGAGGACGTGGAGGACGTGGAGGAGGAGGAGGACGCGCCTCGCGGCTTGGCAGCTCGAGGGAGCTCGAGGCGGGAGCGCGCGCCATGGCGCCTCGCGCGGCGCGGAGTGCGAAGCTGGTCGGAGGAGGAGCATCGACTACACGCGAGAGTGACCCTTCACCGGAGCGAACTTTGGTGCGGGCTCACGGGTCGGGCGAAGAGAACTATGCACATGCACTGATCCTGGCAAGTCCCATCCTTGACCCAGGATCGGTGCATATGCCTTCCTGGCCAAGGTAGGAGGGCGTACCGATCCTGGGCTCAGGATGGGCCTGGCCAGAATCGGTGCATGTGCATAGTTCTCTTCCCTCTAACGGGGGTCCCCCCGATCGTTGAGCACGATGCGTCAGTGGGCGCTGGCGTTCTTGGATTTGGCCACCACCTTGCGCCCCTTTGAGTCCGCGCACTAAGGGTCACTCTTTCCTAGGTTCGCTCTTCCGCGTAGCCGAGAAAAGAGGCGGTGGGCGGCGGGTGGAAGTGAGAAGGAGACGGCCTTTTCAGAAACGCTCGCGCGTTCTCCCGGGCTCGCCGCCGAGATCTGGTACCCATACCGCTACCCTTTCCTCGTTTTCGCCTTTGCAGGCCTCGTCGGCTCCGCTGGATTCGCCTCGAAGTCCTGGTCGGAACACACCCTGGGAGTGGTCTGGGGAGTAGCGGTGTCCGTACCTTTGGTCTCCCCAGCTAGGTTGCCCGAGGATGGCGGCGCGTGGTCACCTCAGGGGCAGCCGTTAGTTGTGGGGATAGGCTCAGGGGGGAATGCATCGATACCTGATCGCCCGTTGGCAAGCGATGGGGATCCGATTGCCCACCTTGTCCAGGACCGCGCGGTTTCGCTATCGCAATATATCAGAATGTATCGCCGATTCAGCTCGATGTTTTCCACCTCAGAGTCGGTTCCCCCTATCGTTGCCCCTCCGGATGTTGGTGCGTGGCCACCCTCCTCTCGAAGGTACGAGGAGCTGGAAGCGCAGCGCCTCGCAAGCGAGCAGCGCGCCGTGGCCGCTGAGACGGCCTTGTTGCAGATGCAGGTGGAGCGGGACCGGCTCCAGTCGAGGACGGAGCAGCTGGAGACCGAGATCGTGGAGACGAACGAGGCCGCCGCCATCCTGCTCGTTCGTCACCTGTCTGCGCACGTTTTTCTTGTGGAGTTGTGTTTATCTCTTCTTTTTTCGTTTTCTCTCTCTCTCTCTCTCTCTCACTGTTGTTTGTTATGTTTCTCTCTGTCTCGCTGGTTCTCCCTCTCCCCTGCGCTCCAGTACACCTCCTGCCTGTAGTCCTACCTTTCCGCACTGGCTGGCGCATCTCGCCCTCTTGCCGTTCCTCCTCGAGCCCTCCTCCAAGCCAACCGCCACCAGCCGCGACATGCATCGGGTGTATCCCTGGTGCCGCTGGGCCATCGTTTTCTCGTGTTCCGTCTGCGAGCCAGTGGGCACGACCGAGGTTGCGCCGCGGCCAGGCAAAACCTGTAGAAGCAAAGCGCGCCAGGCAGCCTCGCGCACCTGGATGCGGGGTGTAGCACAGCAAGCATCCAGGGCATCGGGGTCCAAGCCCTCGAAGCCTCGAGCTGGCCTCGCAGCTTCAGACGGCGGATGGGGTGGTCGCCGCAAAGCTTAGATAGGAGTCTGCGAGTCGGCGGCGAGCCCAGGGGGAAGTGCGACGGGGCACGCCTTGTCAGAAGGCGGCGGGGCTTCTCGGAAGCCCTCGGGGCTTCTGAGGCGTTTTCTGTGTCTGCAGGGAGGGTTGAGAAAACCTCTCAGAGGGCCAGAGGCCTTCCGAGCCTTCTGAGAAGGCCCGCCTCTGCTGATTTGCCTCCTGGGCTTGCCGCCGAGTGAGATACGGGCCGTCTCGTCTCGGTAGCGGCGGGTGCATACCATCAGGAGTGAGCCGCCAGGTGGTTTGGGCGCTCCGCAGTCGCCCTGACACCTGACCGAGTTTGAGGCAGCGGCGGGCAGTGTACGCACCGCACGTCGTGCAAGAGAATCTGGGCGACTCCCGATCTCCACGAAAGACCTCGGTGTGGGGGGCAGAGTGTGGCCTTCCGAGAAATTCTAAATACACGTCAGGTCTCACAGGGACCTTTGAATCCTGCCATCGGGCGGATCGCTGGCAAGCTGTAGACGCCTGAGGCAGCTGGCGCGGCCCTCCTCCAGAAGTTTCCAGTGGTTCCACCCGCCAGCCCTGAGGAACTTGAGCCCATGTCCGTGGTTACAACTGTCAAACTCCTCAGAGGGGACAGCGCGCAACATTGCGAGTGTGGCCGGTGACGGCTGACATGAGACAGTCGCAGCGCCGCACCTCGGATCCAAAAGCAGCGGCCACGAAATACCGCGTCTGGTAAAATCCTGCCAGGGGCGTGCGCAGGGGGGGGCCCTTCTGACCAACACTGCGTGCGGCAGACCAGCAGCAAGTCCATCCGCCAGTGGGGCGCGCGCGTGCGTTTACCAACCTGGAACATATCCCTATCCCTATGCTGGGCACCTCCTCATCACGATGCCAATCTTAGGGATTCCCTTATTTTTTGAGGGCGAATCTTTAAGATTGTCATCGCCTTTTGGCGTGTCAATCTTAGGGATAGGGATACGTTCGAGGCTGGTAATGCGTGGCGCGCGCGTGCCCGAGCACGGCACGTCGACAGCAGCACCAAAGCGACGGGCAGGGCGGCCTCGGGCCCGGCAGAGAGCAGGAGGGGAAAACACGCACAGACACAATGAATCGTAGATTCCCCAGAAAATATGGGAAACTATGGGAAGTGGGGGGGGGCAGACAAAAACCCAGAAAATATTGGACATATGGGGAATCTGTTTATTTGTGTGTACTTATCTGTGTGTCCCAGGGCCCCTTCAAGGGAGAGAGAGAGAGCCGTCTGCTGCAAAACCTCGTCAAGCCAATGTGCGCGGCGCGGCGCTCATAGGTCGGCGACCGCAGCTGCAGGTGAGTCATCACCTCGACGTCTGAGGTCCCACGGTCGGCACCATCCTCCTCCTCCTCCTCCTCTCCTCCTCCCCTCCTCCTCCTCCTCCTCCTCCTCCTCCTCCTCCTCCCCCTCAGCCTCCTCCTCCTCCTCCTCCTCCTCCTCCTCCTCCTCCTCCTCCTCCTCCTCCTCCCCGTACCCGACGCGCCAAAAGCGTGCCGCGGCGACGTGTCCGAAGCTGCCCGGCGGGCCGGGGCGAGCGAAAGCGGCGGCCGCGAGCGTCCCGAGGGGCCCGCAGCAGCCTCCAAGATAGGCTGCGGGCGGCACGACAGGGCGCCCGCAGAGGCGGGCGATCAGAGGGCGGCACGTCGAAAGCAGCACCTGGCCACGGGCGGGGCGGCCTCGGGCTCGGCCTCGGGCTCGGCCTCGGGCCCGTCTCCTCCTCCTCCTCCTCCTCCTCCTCCTCCTTCTCCACCTCTTCCTCCTCTTCCTCCTCCTCCTCCTCCTCCTCCTCCTCCTCCTCCTATTCACCCTCTCGCTCTCTTTCCGCAAGGCATCTGTGCCTTTTGCGCTCCACCTCTTGCCGTCCGCGCTGTGACAGCACGCTGGCCGCACCGAGATCATTACTTGGAGGTTGTCCGTCGCGAGAGAGCGGCAGCCGCGAGCGGCGGCCGCGAGCGGCCCGAAGGGCCCGCAGCAGCCTCCCAAGAGAGTTCCGCCAGGCGGCACGACAAGGGCGCCCGCCAGGGGGCGGGAGCGAGCAGCGTTGGCGCGCGCGGGGCTCCCAGGGCCCCCGAGGCGCGCCGAGGCGCGGGCGCCCGCGCGCGGATGGCCATGCTCTAGGCCCCTGTGGCTGGTGTGCATATGTCAGGCTCTGCTGCTCCTGCGCCTCGGTCTCACCTCCTCTGCCCTGCTGCTGCTCTGGCGCGCAGGGCCCCCGAGTTGCTGGGCGCGCTGGCCGCGGGCGCGCGCGAGCCCCCGCGAAAGGAGCGAGAACGCGCGCTCTGTCTTAGCACGGGCTCCCCTACTCGTACTTCGTGTCTCTTTGCTTTCCATACAGTTCCTCCCATACGGTCCAAAGCCTCCTGGATGGGGTCGGAGTAGATGGCCGCATGATCTAGGCCCCTCGGCCTCCTGGGCCGCCAGGATCTGGGCCTCCTAGGCCGCCAAAATCTAGTCCTCCTGGATGGAGGATCGCGCCCATCCCCGATGCATCGTCGATGCTGTTCGATGCGGAGCCCGGTTTGCTCCACGCGGGCGTCGCCGATGCGTCGGCGACGTCGGCGATGCATCGCCGATGCATCGCCGATGCATTGGCGATGCGGCGCGATCCTCTGACCACAGTTATTCGGACCCCATGTAAGGAGGCATCTACATAACACGGGGGCTCGGCAGCAAATCGTGGGAGCTTGGTGTGCACTCTGACTTCCGTTTTGGGCGTCGATTCGCGTCGAGTAGTGTCTGGGGGTCGATGAGGTACCGCCGATGTAGCGTCGGCTGACGCCGATGCAGCGTCGGCTAGCGTCGGCTAGCGCCGATTCGCAGGAGCCGACAAGATGGCACGGGAGGCTCCCACGAGTTGCCACCGAAGGGGGGGGGGGCGGAGGAGGACGAGGACGGGGGGGACGGCGGGCGTCGTGCTCGGATCGGGGTGCTGCGGCAGGCGGGGCGGCGGGCGCCGTCCAGGCACGCGTGGAGGGGCACTGTGGGCCCACAGGGGGCGCAGCCGCCGCGAGGAGGAGAGGGTGGAGGAAGCAGAGGCACGGGCAAGAGGACGGGGGCCGCACGGATGGGCGGTCGTGCCCTGCCTGAGCTCCTGTTCCTGCCCCCCCTGTTGCCTTTCTCGCTTCTGATCCTCATCTTTGGCATCCCTCTCTCTTTCCTTGATCCTACTCCGCGCGGTTTCTTTCTTACCCTTCTCCTCTCGATCCTCCCACTCGTTGCCTCCCCTTCCGCCAATCTGTATGAAGTGGTGCGCGCAGCGCTGGGACGCGCGGTGAGAATGAGCAGAGCGAGCTTCCAGGAGCAGGCAGTTCCGCGTCTTGAAATCAGCGCGCATGCGGTGAGGGGCTTGAGCTCCGCGTGTCGCTCCGCCGGTTCTGGCCCTTCATGCTTCGGCGCGACACGCTATCCACGTCCCAGTTCCAGGCGTCAGCGCCCCGAGCGCGTTTCCCGGCTTCCCGCCCCGCGGAGCCGAGCGGCACGGCACTTCCGTTCCGCGTGCACGAGATGGCGTGTTGTGTTGCCGGAGCCGCCGCCGTGACACGCTAAACACAAGTTTCGGGCCGCAGTCACGTCCTCCTCCTCCTCCTCCTCCTCCTCCTCCTCCTCCTCCTCCTCTTCCTCCTCCTCCTCCTCATCCTCCTCCTGCCAGCGTCACTGACGCGCGAGATGCCAGGGAACGGGTCGAGCTTGCCAAGGTGCCAGGGAACGGGTCGAGATTGCCAAATCCAGTCAGCCGGTCTGGCCCGCAACCCCACGACCGAGCGTCCTTCATTCTCTCCTGCCTCATTTCTCTCAGCGCGCGTTCCTGACATCCTTGCAGCCTGCATCCTGCGCTACCGAACGCTTCCGCGAACAATCAGCCATGCTGACAAGCTTCCTCCTGCGTTGTCCCTTCGCTAGCGTCCCTCGCCCCTGCCCCTGCCGCTCCATTATCCCTCCCACACGTCACTATGCCCCCCCCCCTCTGGCTCCCCCGCGAGGGCATGACAGGGGTCGTTCGACAATGCTGTTTTCCGTTTTTTGTTTAATGTTTGTTCTCTCTCCCTCTCTATCGCTCTCCGTCTCCCCTCTCCTCTCAATTTCTCTATTTTTTCCTATCTCGCTCTCCTACTTTATTCCTCTCTCTCTCTCTATTTCTCTCTCCTTCGCCCTTTCTGTCCATTATTGTATTTGCGGGCAGGCACACTTCATCAATGTCTTCGTCACATTCCCCACTCTTTGTGCTCCCTCCCTCTCTCTCTCTCTGGCTCTCCCTCTTTCCTGGCAGCTCTCTTGCTCTCTATCCCTCTCTCTCTCTGTTTTCTCTTTCTCTGTTTCTCTCTCTCTCTCGTATGTATTTCTCTGCCGCCCCCCCTCTCTCGCTCTCTCTTCTATCGCCCTCTCTCTCTCATCCTCTCCCTCCATGTCCTTGTATATTTCTAGATACACACACAATCAGCTTCCCTTCGCGCTTCCTCCAACGCCTCGCCGACCCTTGTTGAAGCTTATCCTGAGTGATCCTCCCTGCAAGTTCTCCCGTCCCGCAGCTGCTTCGGCCCGAAGAGCTCCTTGGCAGCAGCTGGATCAGCCACCGCTCGCCCCGCATCTCGCCGCGAGCCCCCGCGGTGCGGAAGCCACCGATGAAGGGGTTCCTGAAGGGCGTGGTCGGTGGCTGCCTCCAGTCCAAGCCCCCTCCGGGCGGCACCGCGGCCCCGAGCTCCGATGCGACCGGAGCGGCCGGCTCCAACAAGGACATGCGGCTCCTGGAGGAGTACTCCGTGGGTCAGACCCTCGGCGAGGGTGCGTTCGGAGTCGTGTCCAACTGCAAGCACCGTGCGACGGGCGTCGAGTACGCAGTGAAGATGGTCGACAAAGTGGAGACCCCTGTTGATCAGATCAAGAAGGAGGCAGCAATGTTGGAGAGTCTCGACCATCCCAACATCGTCAAGTTCCACGGCGTCTACTATGAAAGGTGCTTTGTCTGCATCGTCATGGACAAGTATAGCGGAGGGGACCTGGTGGAGGGTTTGCAGAAGCACTTGAAGGAGCGCGGTCAGATCAATTGCTTCCATGTCGTGCACGTCTGCCGGCAAATGGGAGCCAGCGTCGAGTACTTGCATCAGCGTGGCGTGATCCACAGGGACGTCAAGGGCGACAACTATCTCATGGACCGCAGGGATATGACCGATCCTGCATGCAAGGTTGTGCTGACCGACTTCGGCACTGCCTGCAACGTCGACAAGGGCGAGCGCCTGAGCGCAGCCGTGGGCACGAAGATTTTCTGGCCGCCGGAGTTCTTCGACAAGAACTACGGCGTCAAGGTCGACGTCTGGGCGATCGGTGTCATTATGTACGGTCTGGTAACGGGCCGCTTCCCCTTCAGGGACGAGGCTGACATCCGAGCGAAGGAGGTGAAGATCCCCAAACGCGTCCACCCCACTTGCGAGGAGCTCATCAAGAAGATGCTCGAGAAGAAGGAGGCTCTGCGCTTGGACTCGACGCAGGTTATGTCGCACCCGTGGTTGAGTGACGGCAGCAAGAAAGAAGACAAAACTCAGCGGGAGTCTGAAACTGCAGCAGAGGAGGGCCCAACCGACAACCTCCGCCTCGATGACGCAAACGACGGCATCAAGGAGAGACGCCAGGAGCTGATCGACCGCCTGAACAAGGAGCACGAGGGCCGCAGTGCTTCTGCGTCCAGAGGTGGCAGGGTTGCTGCAGCTCCTTCTGCCCATGCTGACGGAGCGAAGTTCACGCTCAAGGACAAGGCTGGAAACAAGATGGTGTACGAGTGGTGGGACATGGCGAAGGCGAAACGCTCTGGTATCAGGCTGCCTCCGGCAAGCCCCGTTACCGTGCCAGCGCAGCATCGATCTCTGTGCAGGTTGGTTATTCCGAGTTTCGCGAACCAAGCATTCTCGGTAACACCATATTGGCGTTGTCAGGCGTCGCGAGGCAGTCTTGGTCCGTCTTAGGGCAGTCTAAGTATTGGAATCAACCGCATAACGTTTCACCTGGTGTTTCGATTATTTTGACTTCCCATGGCCTCGTTGGAGGCTTCCTTCTTCCTTCAGCACCTCTTCGGAGCTCCGTGGGCGCATCTTAGAGGCTTCGTCGGCCCTCTTGAGGCCTCGTGTGTCTAGGGGTAATCTGCGTGAACACGGAAGGTATCATGCAATGAGTAAGCTGGTATTGGGGCCGCCTTCGAGCTCTAATTTGGGGCGGTAGTGAACCTCCTGATTGGGACAATCTCTTTGGGGTATGTGCTGGGAGGGGCATGGGAGCGCCCCTTGAAAATTATCTTTGCGAGGGACCTAACCTTTAGCAGCTTCATCTCATGATAGTTAATCTCTCCATGCACGGCACATGTGAGGGATGTGTCGAGTTGGGTTGGGAGACCCATGCAGACAGACCAATTTGGGGCCGTACGACGAGCCTCCGAAGGAGCGCGAAACGTGTGAGGGCACTCCGAAATGCGCGGGGAAACGCATGCACACTTTCACACCGGGGCCGTAGGTGGGACTCCTGTGAGAGGGGTGTGCCGAAATGGGCGGCAGTACGTATGCACACTTTCCTACTGAGGTCGTATGTGGACCTTCCATATGAGGTCAAGATCTTCGTGAGTGGTGCGCCGACATGGGCGGCGCTGCCATACGGACCCTCCTAATGGAGCTGTACGTGGAGCTCCAAGACCAAGATCCTCGTGAAGGGTGCGCCGACTTTCGCGGCGCAGCCATAAGGACTCCCCACTGGGACCGTAGGGAGAGCTACCTATTGGTCACGATGCTCGTGAAGGTTTTGCCGAAATAAGTGGCGCCGCAATGCTGACCCTCCCGATAAGGCCGTATGGGGAACTCTCATCTGAGGCCACGGTCTTCGTCAAGGGTGCATCACAATTGGCGGTGCAGCCACGCGGACGTTGTCTCGTGGGCCGTGGGCGAAGCCCCCGATAGATCGACTGACGGTAGTACACTAAGTCTACTCGGGAGTGAACACACATTGTGAGAAACGTGATGATCATTCCTCTGAGTTGAGACAGGCAACTTTTAGTTGACTCGGAGGCCCGCGATCAGCACATGGCATCGGCATGAATGACGTGACAATTGCATAAAGAGCTGAACATCAAACTTCCTCCTCTATTGCATGGTGCTAAATATACAAGTATACAAACATAAACGAGACCAAATGGGATTCGCGTTGACACGGTCGGAAATAGAGGTTAGCACAGATAATTCACAGAACAGAGACCGCCACATAAGTACAATCGAGGGGTCCCAGGACATTTCGTCCAGAAACCTAACTAAACAAGACGAGGTAAAACTCTCGGGAACTGCGAACGTCCAGATCAGAAACAAATAAAGTGAAACAAACCCGGCACCCACGGAGACTTCCCTTGGCACCAGTTTGCATAGCACGAATGTCTAAGAAGTCGGCAATGGCGTCAGCCTTGCTCGAAACACTATTCCATCGCATTAATCATCAGCACGGGTGAGCGTTCGCTCCTCACCTTTAGCTCAAAGGCAAAAGGATGGGGCATGGCCTCATCGCACCACTCACGCTTCGTCGGCGGTGGCGCTCTCGCCGCATAGCTTGCTTGCACCGTGTGTCACGATCCTGCTCGCGCTGCGCATGCCGGCGCAGCTCTTGTTCCTATGGAACTTCTCGCCGTGGACGGGGCAGATGTACACAGTGCTCCCATCGGGGGTGGACAGAACCCCCAACAGTGACACGTCGATTAGTGAATTGTCCGTTTTCGGTTCTCGAGAGGGCGCCGTGGCCGTTATTTTCCAGGCTTGCGCCCGCCAGGTTTGGGCCTCAGGTTGTTTTCACTAAACCACGTTTTACTAAAGGGGGGTCTGTCCATCCCCGATCCCAGCCGTCGCTCTGCGCCTGGTCGATGGCCTTGCGGTGGTAGGTTTCTCCGTGCTGCGTGCCTCCTGTTCGCCAGGCTGGTCATCGACCTTGTCGTTGGTTCCACCGCGCAACGTCAGTGCAATATCCGTAGGGTCGTTCATCTCCTTCTGTCGGCTGAGCCGCTGATTCATTTCCACCCCTAGGCATACTCCAACCAGCACTCCGAATAGCAGAGTTCCCAGCGCTGCCAAGGCTAAGATCGCCATCAGGTCGTACTCGCTCTCCGAGTCCACCACGTCGCAGGACATGTTCAGGGTCGTGTTCACGAGGCCTTGTGTACTCGTGGGCGTCCCTGCTGCGATCGCTGCCGCTAGCTCGCGGCCGCTGGCGCCAAAATGATCTTTGCGCGTCTGCTTCGACTGCTCCGTCGTCTCGGTGTTCGCGAAGCCGTCGCCAGCTTGCTCCAGCTCACGCTCTCGCTGCTCCACCTGTCGTTTGGTGAGCTTTTTGCCTGCCACGAAGTTCGGGCCGTACTTCAGTTCGTGCACACCGCATCTGAGGTTGCCTGCCAGCGTCTGGCGGCTGCTGAGCTTGGTGAGCCCGTCGGCCAGCTGCTCCTGCGTGTTGACCCACCTTCCAGACCGCGTCGATGCCCAGCATCTGCTCGTTCACGATCTTGACTTCGATGGCGGTGCGCTTCTCGGAAGCCCCGAGGCCAGCTGTCGTTCTACGCGAGGCGTCGTACAGGCACTTGGCGTTCGTGATGCATGGCGGCGGACCTGGGTACGTCATCGCTTCCTCCGTGGTCAGGTCGGGCCGCAGACTGATCGTCACGCAGATCTTCACCCGCACGAGCGCGTCCACACCCAGCGCGGCTGCCCGGGCCTCCGCGGTAAGCGAGTTCCTTCGAATCCGCTGCAGCTTCTCCGAAGCCCACACCACAATCACGATGGGCGTAGGCGTTCCTGCGTTCAGCTCCTCGGCGGGTCCGATTGAGACCGGGTAGCCTTCCTGGGAACTCCCGTCAGGGCGCTTGGCGCAGCTGGCGTCCGAATAGTCTCCCACGCGTAGTGAGCTCCACGGCTTGTCGCATCCAACAGTAGACTCCGACGTCGACGTTGGACTTTAGAAGACGCAGGTCCTTGATCGCGTCCAGCATGTCCTGCACGGTGGCGTTACCGGTGACGGCCGCACTGAACGAGATTGCAGCCGCTGCGACAATCGCGCCCTGTGCGGTTGGCCACTGCAACTAGCCAATGAGCATCCTGGAGTTGGTGAGTTCCTTCGCCGACAACGGTCTGGCCGGGTCAGTGCGCCTGACCTTCCCGATGTTGATTGGCTTCACCGCGTGTAGGTACTTCTCGAACTTCTGCGGGGTCGCGTAGGTGTTGATATTCTGCTCCATCTCGCCGCCGTTGACGGTGAGGTCGATCCCAAAGTCCCACTTGCCCAAGTTGATTTTCTGGGCGAGGGTTGCCAGCCTCGCCTTGAAACTCTCTGCGTCGTCCGTGGGCGAGTGCAGATTATCCTCCGTGTTGACGTGTTCTCTTCACTCGAGGAAGTCCACAGGCTTGCCGATCAGACCGTCCACCAAGTACTTCTGGTCGTCGATCACGCAGACGTCGAACGGGTCGTCGCTAGGCTTCGCGGTCCACAAGCTGATCAGCAAGCAGTCTGCGAGCCAGTGGTTCTTGAACCCGATCTCCCACATGAATTCGTCGGAGTGGTAGTGCCAGAGCTTGGGCGACCTCGGGTCTGCAAAGCACGGCTTGATCATCTTCGGTAGTTGCCCGGGTTGCAAACAGGGCTGGTTCGATTTAGCAAGTCCTTCACCTCCTTGGTAGGAGTCGCGTATAGTTTCAGACCACTGGAGCTGGCATCGTGTGCCTGTAAGAACGCGGACTTCACATCGGCGGTGACAGTTTCCACTTCCGTACGGCAGCCCACAGCATGATGGTGTGACGACCGAGGCGACTCAGCGTGGGTGCCTCTTTGTCAAGTTGGCACTCGACGACGTCGCGATGCTGGAAACCCTGGTACATCACTCGCGCGTTGGCCACTTGCTGTCCGTCTTTCGTATTCCGCTTCAGCAGGAGTTTCAGCGGGCAGCACGCCGCTGGGTCTACCTCCTCCTCCTCCTCCTCCTCCTCCTCCTCCTCCTCCTCGTTGATCGACTCCCAACACTGGCTGCCGTCGCAGACCTCCAGGGCCTCGCAGTTCCCGCACTTCGCTTCTTCGAATTGCTGCCTCTCCTCGGGTGAGAGCCCAGCCTCCACGATGCTGGGGGCCTTCCGCTTGTGGGTGAGCATGTCGACTCCTCCCTCCGACGCCTCGAGCAGAAGTGGCTCGTCGCCATCGGCGTCCTCAGCGCTGGCCTGGGCGTCGTCGTCCCCGGCGCTCGGCTTCTTCCAGGTCGGCCTGGGCCTCTTGGCCGGCAGGCCATCGAGGAGGCCGGTCGCCTCCGCGCTCCGCCGGGCCAACCGCTCGAGGTTTATAGGCCCTGCACGGCTGGGCGGCCGCGCCGGCACGGCCGCCGGCTGCGGTGGGCTCCGTAGCGGGGCTCTCCTCCCGGGAGTCGGGCACGAAGCTGTCTGGAGATGGCGGTGCGCCCTATTTGGGCGCACTCGCCGGTGGGTGCGCGTCGGCAGGCTCCGCGTCCGCCTCCATGGGCACGGGCTCGTCTGCCGAGGCCGTGGCCGCGGCGGTGCCCACGTCGTCGGCGACGTCGTGCTCGGGGCGGTCGCCCCGTTCCTCCGGGTCCTTGGAGTGGAACGTCCCGCTCGTCTGCTTGAGAGCGCTCTCCGCCACTTCTCCCTGGTGCTGAGCGGATGGCTCACTGCTCCTCCTTCGGCCTCGCGCTCTCGCGTCTCACTCTCGAGCTCCGGCCTCAGCTGCTCCAGGCTGCATCGGTAGTCCGTGCAATCGTGCGTGACCCAGACCACCGAGGTGTGTACCACCTCGTCTTTGTTGGTCTTGGACTCCGCCGCCCCGACGAGCGCGGGTCCACGCCAACGGCGCTTCTCAACGCCTCTGTCCTTCGCAGGCCTCCAGTAGTAGGCCCACTCCCCAACGTCGTGATCCCTGCGGGCTGGTCGACTGCGCTCCAAGAGAGCGGCGAGTGCGGCACGGGAGCGGTTCGCCTCGATGCAGGCGGGTTCTGCTGCCACAAGCTGGGCCATGAGCTCCGGCACTTCGCTCTCAGGGTCGCTCAACGCGGACTGCTCTGCCAGGCCGAAGTCCTCGTCGCTGGCGCGCCAGTGCTAGGAGACTGGTTCTTGAATTCAACAGTTCGCTCTTGAATCCAAAACCTTCCTGTTCTTGAATTCAAAAAATTTGTTTTTGCATTCAAAAACTTGGTTTCTGAATTCAAACAACTCGTACCTGGGACTTTGGGTTGCGGGCCCAACGCCAGCGTGGCGGGCGTCCTGCCGTTCTTGTCGCACCGGGCCTCGAGAATGGGCTGCTTCGCGCGTAGGTATTCTGTCCACTGCGCCCAGTTCCAGTCGACCATCGGTCGCTCCTCCGTCGCGGATGCCCTTGCCGACGGTCGCCAGGCTGACCTTCTCGATCGATCTCGCGTGCTCGCATCTTCGACCACGTGATCTTCCTCCTGCTCATTCGCGAAGCCGCCTGCTCGAAACCTCTCGAAGAGCGCGGCCCGTGCCGCGGAGTCGAGCCCGCGGCGCTCGGCCTCGGTGGGCCCGGCGGCGGGGGGGCAGCCGTCGGTGGCCAGGGCAGCGCCTGACTGGCGCGCGGTGGGAAGCAGGCTGGCCCTCGGCGGCCGTTGCCTCATGCATTACAGTATTCGGCCTGACCTAAGGAACGATAAATAAGGAACGAAGCCCCTTTTTGCCAGGTAAGTCTATGAAGTTCGAAGGAACGCCAGAGGGGTTCGCCGCCAAGAAGGTAGCGGAACGCAAGCAAACCAAAGGAACGACCGAGCCCCTTTTGAAAAGCAAGTGTTCCTTATTCAAGCCGGACCCTGTATGATGGTCCAACCTACTTGAGCCCTGATCACCAGGAAGAATTTCGAGCACCAGGGAAGTACCGAAATGGGAGGGTTTTCACGCGTCGGGCCCTCGGAGGCGATACTCGTTCGGCACTGCTTCGATTTCATTATTGGTGCTCGAAGTGCTTTTTGGGATGTGGTCCTTAAGTACGATGGGAGCAACATAACCCTTGCCCTTGCTCTCACCTCGTCCTTTTTGCCGTTGCCCTTGCCCGAGCCCTTGGCAGATTGCCGCGGCTCGCGCGTGGAGTTCTCGTCCGGAGCCAGGGCAAGGAGGGGATAGGAGTCAGTCGGGCCTGTCCATCTACCGGAGGAATGTTCAAAAATAGTTTAGAACATCGTATTGGGACGAATTTTCTAGTAGTTTGGGTTATTACTTAAATCTGTTTCGCCTATTGTTTTTTCCCTCCAAAATCCGCCTGCAGGAGGACATGCCCGACCTAAGGATGGAGTCCCCTGGACGTGGCGATCTCCGCTGCTCGCCTCTTGCTCTCGACGAAAATCCATGCAGGTCTCTCGTCACAGGCGAGCGGTGCCTCCTCGGTCTCTGGCGGTGCACCCTCGGCAGCGTCGGCCTCTTCCTGATCGTGGCCATCTTCCTCATCACAGTACTATACAGCACTCGTAGTCGTCATCCTCCTCGTTGTATCGAATGGGACAAATTTCAGAAACGTAAACTTTTGGCGCTCCGCGCGGATTTCTTGAATCCGCGCTGGGCCCTCCCGGCGGCGCTGGCGCGCTCCGCGCGCCAAGGAGGGGGGTCCAGGGCGGATACAAGAAATCCGCGCGGAGCGCCAAAGTTTATGTTTATGCCGTTTTCTCTTTATCTATGAGAGAGCGTGATCCACCGCCGCTTTACTGTGGAAAATTGCCAACCTTTTCCTCTGGAACCCGGGGGTCGCCCCCCCCCCCCCCCCCTTCCGAAAATCCCCCTCCCTCCCCCCCCCCCCTCCCCCGGCAAAAACCCCCCCTCCCCTACCCCTCCCCCCCCCCCCCCCTCCCGCTCGAAAACCGAGGGGGGTCACTACCGGTTCGAACCCCCTCCCCCCCCCCCCCCCCTCCCGGATCCGGAAAACCGGGGGGGTCACTACCGGTTCGAACCCCCCCCCCCCCCCCCCTTACTCACCGCCAGCAAACGACTCCCGGTCCCCACCACCGTCCGCATCACATCCCCCACTGGTGTTCCCAGCACCACTGTCCTCACCACCGCTGTCCCCACTGGTTCCACCACCGCCCCTACTGTCCCCACCAGTGGCCCCACCACTGTCGCACTGTCCCCGCTGTCCCCAGAACTGTTCCCACCACGGTTCCACTCTCCCCACTGTCTCCACGGCCCCAACCACTGCCCGACTATCCCCACTGTCCCCACTGTCCCACTGACTCCTCCGCTGTCCCACTGAGCTGTCCCACTGTTCCCACCACTGTCCCCACTGTCCCCACCACTGTCCCCACTGTACCTCTGTCCCATTGTCCCACCGCCGTCCTCGCCACCGCCTTCACCACTGTCCCCACCACCATTGTACCCTCCACTGTCCCACTGTTTCCACCTCATTCCCATTGTCCCCACACCACTGTCCCCACCACCACCGTCACCACCACTGTCCACTGTCCCCCCCTGTTCCCACCATTGTCCCCACCACTGTCCCCACCACTACCGTCCCCACCACTGTCCCACTGTCCCACTGTCCCCACCACTGTCCCGCTATCCCCTCACCACTGTCCCCACCAACACCGTCCCCACCACTGTCCGCACCCCCACTCGGTTTTCGAGGGAGGGGGGGGTTCGAACCGGTAGTGACCCCCCCCGGTTTTCCGGATCCGGAGGGGGGGGGGGGGAGGGGTTCGAACCGGTAGTGACCCCCCCCCCTTTTCATGATGAGCAGGGGGGGGGGGGGGGGGAGGGGTTCGAACCGGTAGTGACCCCCCCCGGTTTTCCGGAGGGGGGGGGGGGGGGAGGGGTTCGAACCGGTAGTGATCCCCCCTGGTTTTCCGCCAGCAGCGGTAGAACACGCTCTTTCTTATCCATAGTAGCCGTCTCTGCTTAGGTGTGAGTCCTCGTAGCTCAAAATTCGTTCCCACTCGTAGTCGTTGGTGCATTTGGCGTCTGCGGTGGCTGAGCTGCCAGTCAGCATGCGTCCGGTCCACTTCACATCTCGCTTGTCGGATGTTGCCTCGGCACCATAGGTGTCCAACAACACCTTGCGAACCCTGGCCCAGCTCAGGCCATCTCCGCATTGACTCCGTATCTGAGCGGCTCCGTTCGGTGGGATCGCAGCTCTGTTGAGGAGGCGCCACCCTGCCAGCATGTCGGGAATCTCCATACTGACCTCCTTCAGCTTCCGCACCTCGCGCTGATGCCGCAAACAATACAAAGTTGCAGCGTTTCCTTACCCTGGCGCCCGAACTTGCCGAAGAAGATGTCTGCCCTGGCGGGCAAGTCCGTCTGGCTGTCGTACTTGTAGTATTCATCCTGCACTCGGATGATGGGCTGGAATCTATCTTCGGTCTCCAACAAGTCCAGGACTATGTCTTTCGTCGCCTCTGCTGCCTCGCCCTGCAGCGAGTTGAGTATCAGGTAGGCGCCCTAACTGATCGCGTTGACGCCTCTTTTGCGGCAGCACCTCTCGAAGACCTGGAGCTTGCGTCGGAACACTCTGTACCCTTCTTTCTTCAGCAGCTCGAAGCTTGGAGCTGTCTTGCTCAGGCCTGCGTCAAGGCCACGTCCCCCGTCCCAGCTGCTGCCGTTAGACTCCGGCCACCAGCTCCCTCGCCAGCGGCTCCACGCGTCGTCCTCCCCCTGTGACGTCGTGACGTCGTGCTAAGCGTAGTCAGCATCGTCCACGCTGCTGGGGATCTTCGCTCCGGTTGATGGGCCATCGCTGGCTCGGCCTCGGCTGGCGGCGGCCGTCGTGGCTGCGCCGTTGCCTCCCTTGGAGCTATGGGCTCCCCTTCTCGCCTGGGGTGAGGGGGGAGCTGCCGTGGCGGCACCCGGCACCAGCGGCGGCATGGCGGCTGGAAGCGGGGGAGCCGGCGAGGTGGATCACTTGCTCCGCTGCCAATATCAACCAGCGGCAGAACATGAAGTCTACTCGGACAGGATCGCGAACTCTGAGGAACGTGGGGATCTTCCTGAGAAGAGATGCGCAGCCTTCCCCTGACTCGGGGGCCCCTTCGATCAGTTAATGACATCGGCATGAATGGCGTGACAACTGCATAAACAATTGCACATCATTATTCCTCTCAGCTGCTCTGTGCTGATGTACACAAGTATACAGACACAAACAAGACCGAATGGGAATCGAGTTGACACAATAGGGCCACGATCCTTGTAAGAGGTGCGCCGGCGCCCGCACTAGGGCCGTAGGCGGAGCTCCTGATAGGGCAGCGATCTTCGTGCGGGGCGTGCCGGAATGAGGAGGGGCCGCCATCCAGGCGCCCAGAGGCCTTCGGTGGAGCTTCCTATGGGGCCACGAAGTGTTCTGGGCGGACCGCATGCAATCGGTCTTATTGCGGCCTGCGGTGGAACGGGGCTCCCCTCAGGCTGGCGTCGGCATGCGCAGGGCAGAGGAAGAAGGGATGGAACAGCTGGAGGAGGTGAGGATGCGGTGCGCTGCGGATTCAAGGGCGCCCTCGAGGGCGCGAAGTTATTCGCGTTTCGCGGTTCGGCTCAGATTCCTCCTCTTCCTCCTCTTCCCCCCTGGGAGGCGGCGCGAGAGCGCGAAGTTATTCGCACTTCGCGCTTCGCGCAGCGCGAAGCGCGAAGCTGGGAGCCCTTGCGGATTCGCAACGAGGACCGAACACAACAGAGAGGTTTGGGAATTGCAGAGTCTCCACCAAACAATCAAGAGGCATTCTAATACGCCCCATCGTGTCGAGACCAGGTTGGCGGATCCACGAAATGGATGACACGGCGGGCCCGTCTGCCACTAGTGAAACGAAAGGTATCGCCGCCAACTTGGAAACGTTCCAGCTCATGCTGTCGGAGCATAACATCGATGCCAACAAGTTCGGCGTTGGCCAGGCTAAGAGCCTCACGCACCTTGCCAACGAAGTCGAGGGTGGAGCCGCACGCCTCATGCTGGACGCCGCTGAGCACAAGAAGCTCGTGCGGGTCTGCGACCTCGTGGTGCTGGTGCTGCAGAGCCCCAACGACCCCGACAAGCGCGTGATCATCGAGACTGA